TACTTTTCTCTCATTGCTGAGACAAAATACCTGACGCTCAGAATTAAGGACAGGTTTATTTAGCTCACAGTTTGTGGAGGATATAGTCCATATTTGGCTGGTTCCAAGGCAGGGTGGAATGGCACAGGGGCAGCACTTCAAGGTAGCAGAAGACAAAAAAAGCAACAAAGGCAAAAGGTGGGGGAGAAGAAGCCTCTTCTCCTCCCTTATATTGTAAGCAGGCTATCACCCCACTAGGGTGGGTACAACACTCACACAATCTCCATGTTCTCCTCTTGCACAGGGTGAGGCTATTTATAAAGTAAGGGTCCTGGTCCCCTGTTGCACAGCTTAGTTAAACTTCTAAACTTCTCAAGTTGACAAAATGTATCAACCATTACAGATGGCTAAACTATCCTGTGGCTCAGGGGCTTGGGATTTAGCTTAGCGGCACAGCGCCTGCCTGGCAAGCACAAGGTCATGAGTTTGAGTCCCAGTACCGGAAAAAAAAAATAAAATAAAATAAAATAAATAAATATCCTGTGGCTCAAATTATCTTCCTCTTGTTTTTCAGGAACAATACCAGTTTGTCTATAAAGCAGTGCTCAGCTTGGTCAGCACTAAAGAAAATGGAAATGCTCCCATGGCAGTGGACAAAAATGGTGCTGTTCTAATTGCAGATGAATCAGACCCTGCAGAGAGTATGGCATCTCTTGTGTGACTGGAATTCTAAAAGGGAACTTCTCTGTAGACTTCTGAAGACTGAAAACTTTCTTGAGGCCTCCTTTTTTGCCAGACATTAAGTTATAAAATAACCTAGTTACTTTCTTTATTTTTTGCCACTTTATGTCTTAATGGTATCCTACCAAGCATTTGCACCTCTGTTCATTTCACACGGTGAAACACAATTTTATCTAGTTTGCACTATATGATCAGTGTTACTGCCTATAATCCAATTACTAAAGCAAATCCCAATGTGACATTCCATGACAACATTCATGCTACCTTTTTGTTCTGTACAGTGAAAATCTTTGCTGTGACAGTGAGTCTTGATTTTATTACTATTGCTGAAGCAGTTACATTCTACTAGCAGGCAGTGTACTTTTCCTTAGTCCTCCCCTCCCGTTTTTAGGCACTGTTCAAGACTGTACGCCTTCTGTACTTTAATGGAGTGGAGAAGCATTGTTTTCTTTCACAGAATAGCAGGCTATGGGGAGCTACTCAGA